TGTGTGTGGGAGAGAGAGTGTGTGTGTGTGTGTGTGTGTGTGTGTGTGTGTGTGTGTGTGTGTGTGAGTGAGTGAGTGAGTGTGTGTGTGTGTGTGTGTGTGTGTGTCTGAGTGTGTGTGTGTGTGTTTTCCTTAACTCTGTGTTCAAGTGTTGGTCTCAGTGGAAGTCTGAGAACAGAACATCCTGTTTTAGTTTTATATGTGTGTATTCTGATATTTTTTCTCTCTCTTATTGAAATCTAATAATGGGTTAATTTATAAGATAAAAAAAGATGTAAGTCACATTAGTTGGTTTACCTTTATCACAATATCACAATGAATAGGTGGATTTTAAATCATTTTACTATTTTGATTCGACAGCATGTTCATTTCTGTAATTTTTAAAGAATAAATAATTTCAATAAATATTCTGATATTTTTTTCTCTCTAATTGAAATGCTTAAACATAATCTATTTATGGGTTAATATAGAAGACGCAATAAATAATAAACTCACATGTTTTGAAGATGCACTGTAAATAACAGTAGCTGATCACACATCACAATAAACTGGCGGATTTTTAAATAATTTTACTCTGATTATTTTGATGGATTTCTTTTTTTTTTTTTTTTTTTTTATATAAATATTTTTCGAGAAATAATCGTATATTGTTTTCCTCTCTCTAATTGAAATGCTTCAACCTGAATCTGAAACATTTCTCAGAAACATTGTTTTAATTTACTGGTAATCAAAGTATTTTTAGTTCAATTTGATAAATTCAGTGATGCTTTCCCTACTGTTTAATAAAATGATGGAAATCAGTATAATAATGTCACAATTTATCACAACAAATATTAACTCTTTATTTCCATCCTGTTCATTTGTCAGAGTTAATGTTTTGAAGAGTTTGATCAGAATATATTATGCTTTTATAGATACACTATACTCTAGTAATCTCACATGGAAAGCTGCATTAAGAGCTTGTAATGCAGCAGTTATTGATCTTTAGTCATACAAACACATTGTTTTTGTAGAAAATGTTCATGCAGTAGTGAACAAGCGTACGAAACTTCACCTCTAACCAATGTTCCCTCTAATTTCTTAACAATTTCTCTATTGGGCAGACATTTCGGCCACCCGAGCGAAAATATTCTTTGTTGCCTGACCTGTACAGTGCAAAAAATGTGTACATTTAACTGTAATGTGCTATTTATATTTGATTTAACCCACTTTTGAAATATTTTGAATGATGCACATTTTAGGTTACCTGAGAAAATATTTTTTACAGAAGAAATTCTATTAAAAAATCAGTAAAAAAAATCTCACGCAGAGGAGTTAATTTCTTTATAATAATATAATATAGCTAATATGAAAAAAATGAAGCAGTTATGGCTTATGAATTCCCTTTTGAGGTCAATTGTTTATTAGACTTATAATAAAATAATAATAAAACTTTTAAAAAGCAAAAATAAAACTTACTCAATAATGGTTTGCCCGAGCATTGCAATTATTTCACATATAACTAGAATTCAATCAAATGGCTTTCCCAACTTATTTTTGCGTCTGTCCTGTGCGTGGCATATTATTTCTTCTGCGCGGTCGCGCACACGCGCAGCTTAGAGGGAACAGTGCCTCTAACCTAACCACTGTCAGTGCTTTGAGGAACTGGCAGGCTGTTGGTTAAATGTTCACCACTTTAACAAAACGCTTCAGATTGAGTTTAAGGATGCGACACTTTTGCGGTCTGAACTGGGGTCAGTAATGAAGTTATGATCCGCCCCGGCTGGGCTGTGGACACTCAAGGTCAGTCGTGTGTGTGTGGATGAGCTCATGTGTGTGACTGTAATTGTTCTTTAATGAGCCGTAAAACAAAGCAGTGCTGCTCTCCGTCACCTCTCCTCTTCCTCTTCCTCCATCCATCTTCCTCCCGTCACGTCTGGAGCTTCTCATCAAACGCTCATCTGAGAAAGCAACCATCTATTGTCTTAGGATTCAGTGGGACTATTTCAGTTTCTAATTGTACAATGAAAACTTTGCGTGAATCTAAAAAATGGTGCATAAATATGTAAAGTTCTTTAAATTTGCATTTTTATGCATTTGGTGCATTACACTTTTGTCCAAAGTGATTCACGTTGCGTTAAAGTTACTCAGTACTTTTGTCTTGTTTTCCAGTACAAATATCAGAACATTCCTAAATCAATATGCATTTACTCGAACAGCAAAATGACTAAAGATATTAAGTCTTGTTTTCTGAAAAAATTATCAAAATGAAGTACAAGGGGGAAACAAATGTGCCAGTGGGGTAAGAAAAATAATCTTGTTTTCCCTTTGAGGTAAGTTTATCTTTCTGAGCTTATGGGTTAATTATAAGATATAATAAACATTTTTAAAGATGTAACTCACATTAGTCGGTTTTCTTTTATCACAGTATTTCAATGAATAGGTGGATTTTAAAAGGTTTTTCTACTTTGGTTTGATAGGATGTTAATTTTTGTCATTTTTTAAGAAATATTTTTCAAGAAATATTCTTATTTTTTTCTCTCATGCTTTAGAACATTTAAAACATTGTTTTAATTGGTGATCAATTGATACGTGTAATTAGGTTGCAGCCTGAAATATTCCTCTAATTGTTCCCAATTCCTTCAGTTAAGTTATTAGCAATGGTTTTGATGAATCAGTGTTATTTTAGTAGTATTGAGATACTTTTAATATTTTGAATTCATTTTCATTTTTATGTATTCTGATTTCATTTTAATTAAAAATATATATATTTTGCTGTGTGTTTTTGTCAATTTAGTAGTTTTTTTCTAGTTTTGTTTCAATTATTTTAATATTCCTCTAATTGTTCCCAATTCCTTCAGTTAAGTTATTAGCAATGGTTTTGATGAATCAGTGTTATTTTAGTAGTATTGAGATACTTTTAATATTTTGAATTCATTTTCATTTTTATGTATTCTGATTTCATTTTAATTAAAAATATATATATTTTGCTGTGTGTTTTTGTCAATTTAGTAGTTTGTTTCAATTATTTTAGTACATCAAGTTAAACTAAATGAAAATGAGAAATGGTGCTTTGGCAACTAACTGAAAAAAATTATTTTATTCTATTTCAGTTAAAGTTTATTTTATTTCAAGTCACGTAAATGTTTCTATGGTTTTATTTTCTTATTTTTAGTAACCTATAATAACCCAGAGATGAATTCTGTGATGTTTCCCCTATTGTTTAATAAAAGTATCAGAGTCAGAAATATAATCTTGTTTTCCCTTCAAATTAAGTTTACTTTTCTGACCCCTCTGACAGATATTTATTCCTTATTTTAAGCATAAGCTCAATTCACTTTGATGATTTTTTTTGAGAAAACAAGACTTGATCTCTTAAGTCGTTTTGCATCTCAAATAAATGTCTTGATTAAAGGAGTAGTTCACTTCCAGAATAACAAATTCCTGATAATTTACTCACCCTGTGTCACCCAAGATGTTCATGTCTCTCTGTCTTCAGTCGCAAAGAAATTAGTTTTTGAGGAAAACATTCCAGGATTTTTCTCCATATAATGGACTGCAATGGGTCCAAACTGCAGTTTCAGCGCAGCTTCAAAGAGCTCTACAGGATCCCAGCCGAGGAATAAGAGTCTTATCTAGTGAAATGATCTGGTCTTGCACTAGCTGGACTTCACGCATGATGTAATCACGTTGTAAATGTCGCGCCTGTGTGCTCCGGTACAGAAAGGTAGAGTAGGGTGAAAAACTCCATCTCATTTTCTCTTCTAACTTCAAAAGCGTCCCACATCGCTGTTTTACCTTTTTTTGTAAAGGGATTTTGACTTTCTTTGCATGTTGGCTTTGTAAACACTGGGTCGGTGCTTCAGCCTCAGTCACGCGTGACCTTTCCAACGTGATTACCTCATGCGTGAAGTCCAGCTAGTGCAAGACGAGCATCTGTGGTTAAAAAGTATATACATTTTAGTTATTTTAGAAAATTACTGATAGTTTCACTAGGTAAGACTTTTATTCCTCGGCTGGGATCCTGTAGAGCTCTTTGAAGCTGCTCTGAAACTGCGATTTGGACCCATTGAAGTCCATTATATGGAGAAAAATCCTGGAACGTTTTCCTCTAAAACCTTAATTTCCTTGCGACTGAAGACAGAGAGACATGAACGTCTTTGTTTGACACGGGGGCGAGTAAATTATCAGGAGATTTTCATTCTGAAAGTGAACTACTCCTTTAAGAATGTTTAGATATTAATATTGGAAAACAAGACAAAAATACTGAAGAAGATGCATAACTTTAATGTAACATAAGTCACTTTGGAGAAAAGCACCATGCATCAAATGCATAAAAATGTAAGAACTTAGTAAGAACTCTTCAGAAATGAAACTGCATTGTTTGCAGTGTATTGGTTCTTCATTAGTTCTCTCTCTGTCGCTATAGGCACAATGCGTCCCGTGCAGCGCAACTTCTATGACCCGTCCTCGGCTCCAGGCAAGGGCATCGTGTGGGAATGGGAAAACGACTGTGGCTCCTGGACGCTGTATGACATGGAGCTGTGCGTCAGCATCCAGAACGCCTACGAGAAGCAGCACCCCTGGCTGGACCTGAGCTCGCTGGGCTTCAGCTACCTGGTGGACTTCGACGGGATGTCCCAAACCAACCGGCAGAGCCAGAGGAAGCGGCGTATCCGCCGACGGATGGACCTGGCCTACCCGCTCATCGCCGGATCCATCCCCAAATCCCAGTCCTGGCCCGTGGGCACCAACTCGGGCACGCCGTGCACCTGTCAGCAGTGCATGCTGGTCCACAGCACGCGGGCCGCGTCCAACGCCATCCTGGCGCTGCAGCAGAGGAGGAAGCTGTACGGGACGGAGGGCGGAGCCACCGCCGTCGTCAGGCAGAGCAACACCTTCGCTGGCACCTCCCTCTGGTCGCCCACGACGACCGTTGCCAAGGGACACCATAACAACATATCGCTGGGTGGCGGAGGCGGCGGGAAGGTGGACATGAATGGGATGAAATTCCCATGCGCCCCTGCGATCGTGACGCTTCCGTCCAATCACACGCTTACTATTAACGGACAGAACAATCTGAACCGGCCGGGAACGCAGCGGATCGCGGTGACGGCCAGCCGAGGATCCGTCCCTCCTGGGTAAGAGATGATTTGAGATCATATGTCACTGTTTCTGCTGTTTTCCAAAAGCGTTCCAGAATGTCTTTCCTCTCTCTTAAATAGGAAAATTCTGTCATCATTTGCTCATGTTGTCCCAGACCTGCATGTGTTTCTTTCTTGTGCTGAACACAAAAGAAGATATTTTGAAGAATGTGGCTAACTGAACTGTTTCTGGTCCCCATTGAGTTCAAAAGTATTATTTTTCAAATGCTATTATTTTATATATTATTTGACTTTTAAATATTTTATTATTATTTATTTATTGTTTGTTTTATTAGTTATTAATTTTTATCTATCTGTCTGTCTGTCGTTCTATCGTTCTATCTATGTATTGTTCTATCGTTCTATCGTTCTTTCGTTCTATCTATGTATCGTTCTATCTATGTATCGTTCTATCGTTCTATCTATGTATTGTTCTATCGTTCTAGCATTCTATCTATCTATGTATCGTTCTATCGTTCTATCATTCTATCTATGTATCGTTCTATCGTTTTATCGTTCTATCTATGTATTGTTCTATCGTTCTAGCATTCTAGCTATCGTTCTATCGTTCTATCTATCTATCGTTCTAGCGTTCTATCTATCGTTCTATCGTTCTATCTATCTATCGTTCTATCTATGTATTGTTCTATCGTTCTATCTATGTATTGTTCAATCATTCTAGCGTTCTATCTATCTATGTATCGTTCTATCGTTTTATCGTTCTATCTATGTATTGTTCTATCGTTCTATCTATGTATTGTTCAATCATTCTAGCGTTCTATCTATCTATGTATCGTTCTATCGATCTAGCGTTCTATGTATTGTTATATCGTTCTAGCGTTCTATCTATCGTTCTAGCGTTCTATCTATCGTTCTAGCGTTCTATCTATCGTTCTAGCGTTCTATCTATCGTTCTAGCGTTCTATCTATCGTTCTAGCGTTCTATCTATCGTTCTAGCGTTCTATCTATCGTTCTAGCGTTCTATCTATCGTTCTAGCGTTCTATCTATCGTTCTAGCGTTCTATCTATCGTTCTAGCGTTCTATCTATCGTTCTAGCGTTCTATCTATCGTTCTATCGTTCTATCTATCTATGTATCGTTCTATCGTTCTAGCGTTCTATGTATTGTTATATCGTTCTAGCGTTCTATCTATCGTTCTAGCGTTCTATCTATCGTTCTATCGTTCTATCTATCTATCGTTCTATCTATCTAGCGTTCTATCTATCTATCGTTCTATCTATCTATCTATCTATCGTTCTAGCATTCTATCTATCATTCTACCGTTCTATCTATGTATCGTTCTATCGTTCTATCTATCTATGTATCGTACTATCGTTCTAGCGTTCTATCTATGTATTGTTCAATCGTTCTAGCATTCTATCTATCTATGTATCGTTCTATTGTTCTATCTATGTATCGTTCTATCTATATATTGTTTTATCGTTCTAGCGTTCTATCTATCTATGTATCGTTCTATCTATGTATCGTTCTATCGTTCTATCTATCTATGTATCGTTCTATCGTTCTATCTATCTATGTATCGTTCTATCGTTCTATCTATCTATGTATCGTTCTATCGTTCTATCTATCTATGTATCGTTCTATCGTTCTATCTATCTATGTATCGTTCTATCGTTCTATCTATCTATGTATCGTACTATCGTTCTAGCGTTCTATCTATGTATTGTTCAATCGTTCTAGCATTCTATCTATCTATGTATCGTTCTATTGTTCTATCTATGTATCGTTCTATCTATATATTGTTTTATCGTTCTAGCGTTCTATCTATCTATGTATCGTTCTATC